ATTCGATAAAGAAATTCTTTAGAAATCAATATAATTCCATATTATTTATATTTTAAATGTTCATTTATATAATTCAAATTAACTTTAATATTTTGAAAATATTTATCAATAGTTTTGAAGAATCAAAAAATAAATTTAACAAAATTTAATTAACAATCTTTTTTTTATAAAAACAATTATATATTTTATTTATATTGTTAATGATAATTATTTAAAATGAATAATTTGAAGTTTTTTTTAATAATTTTATTTAATAGTTATAATTATGTTGAAAATAACAAAACTTATAATATTGGATTTTTTTCAGTTAGAACAATATCAAGATAAGTTAAAGTATAAATTCTGTAAAATAAAATATATAATATTATCAGAAAATTCTCTTGAAATAAATTTAATATTTTTATAAAAAAAAATTTAAAATAAAATATATTTATTTTAAAAAAAGTTTATATTTTCATATTAACACGAAAATAATCGATTAAAAAAATAAAATAAAATAATCAACCTTGATAATCATTCTATAATTTGATTAGCTGAAATGAAATTCTTTTTTTTTTTAAATAGTTTAAAGTGAAGAATTTATTTGATTATCATTTCAAATAAATTCTATTATGTTTTCAAAAAATATTTTCTTTGCTTTTGTTCACATTCGTCTACATTATCTTTTTTTCAAAAGATAAACTTTCACTCAGATATTAACTGTCAACTAGATTTTAAGGTTTTTTTTAATCAATTAGCCTTTATTTTCTTTCATATTCATTTTCTATTCTAGATTGAAATTATTTCTTATATTATTAATAGTTTTTATAATATACACATTTTAAATATTGTTTGTTTTCTTCTTTATTCAACTACAATCAAATTCAGATTCAATTCTTAATGAATATAATTGGGTGTAGGTGGGAGTGGGAATGTTGATCTCAGATTTCACTTAAGCCACACACACACCATCTTTATTTTCAGACAGCTTAGACTTTATGACTATTTGAACATGATCTGGAAATCATACACAAAATAGCAGTAGTGTCAAACTTGAAAGCTGAATTCAACTATTCAGCTCAGTGCGTCACCCATGTGCAATGCTGCCCCCTGAAACTCTGCCTCGCACAGACGAGGGACGAGGCGCTCCCATTTCGTTTTATATCTAACACAGGCTACTTCATTGGGTGTCGATGTGTGTTTATATGAATTGGTACAAGGTCCACACCCTACCGTGATAGATTTCTTTCTGCTCTTTTTAAGCTTTATTCGGAAGGCACATCAAAATCAGACAGTTAAATTAAAATAGACGTTCATCTTCATCCCTTCAAAAAAAAAAACAAGGATAAAGGAAACATAAAATCTGATTGCAAACTATTTGCAATTCTACATTAATCAATAGATGTATAAAAACGGTCAATTATGTCAAAGTTCGTCAGTTTTCGGTAGGTAGATGGCACGGATGATTTCGCCGTATCATCCACATGAACTTTTACCATAAAAAGGAGAGCATAAGGACTGTCCAGTAAATTGGTTGTACGAACCAATAAGGCACTAGGCACAAGGTAGAAACCACATAGAATTCTTGCTTGGATTATAAGTTCGAGCAGGGCACGATTGTTGGGCGCTTGTGTTATGTTATGATATTTAGAGAAATATAATAGTGCTTAGAAAGAGTAATAGGGAATGATCATTTTTTTATTGTGATTTTCAAAAAGAAATTCAGATTATCAACATTTACAAATAGTACCCTTATTAGGGATTGACGAGTATGAAAGTTCAAGCTGATGATTAATGATGTTGACGAGGAAGTTTGTTCAGATTTGATAGGACCTCATGGAGTTGGAACGTTGGTCAAAGGAAGAAATGGTGTACATTTCGACCTGAATACTTTGAGATAATTTGAGGCACTTAGTACTACTTTTGAGTCACTTTAAATAACTATTTTCAAGCGTTATTTAAATCTCTCAGTATAACCTAAATGGCATATTTTATATAATATACTGTGAACTGAAAACAAAAAAGGTACCATACGAAGCTAAAAAGTGGTTTCAGAATTTTTTTACTAAATCGAAACTAGGGTGTGAGTGTGGTCTACGATAACTTCCACATCCACACCCACACTCACACCCTATATTTTCTTGCATTAGAATAATCTTTTAGAGACATTCTTTTGTTTTATCGAAAGAATAATTTTTCTTAACAATTCTATCCGAATAATTATCATGTAATTGCATATTTTCCAGCATTTATGAAAAAAAAATCGGCAATGTGATTCATGATGTCTGAAATTTTTTTGTACTCAATCATTCGATGAGTAACTTGGGGATTGTTCAAATTGCTGCCAGGCCAAGTCAAATCAAAGCTTTTTATGAAAGTCATAAATTTGTCCTGAATAAAGTCAAATTAATTTTTCATAAAGCTAAGAATTTTCTCACATTTGAATTTTTTTGAACTCTGATCAAAAGTTAATAATTTAAGCGACTTCATTTACTTTGGAAACCGCTAGATTTCATCTGTTCTATTTCAGCACCATCGAATAAAAAATTTCCTATACTAATTTATTTACTGTTTTTTTCCGTCTCTTAGTTCTTAAAAGTATCTATTAGTGCAGCCTAACATAGAAAATACATTTATACTTGTATTCGTTAATGATCTCAGATCATTAGTGCTTGTCTTCTAATTCTTACGGCGTTTGACGACTTTAAGCACGATAATATGCATTTGAATTTTTGGATGCAGTAAAACATCCATGTAAAAACACAAAAATGATTATCTTTAAATGATCGTTATTGGTAGGTTGAAATAAATTCTTCTACCTATTTTTTCTGATTCTGTAGTCAGCAAGTTGTTGAGAATGTAAAAAGTCTTGTCAGATTAAGTTTTCAACATTACCAAATCAATTTTACTCAGTCGATTTTCCATATTTGTAAAATCACATTTCAGATCAAATTCTTTTTTCTTTACTTTCTCTTCCTAGATCCATTATACGGACAGTAGCATAAGATGACAGTAATATGTAAAAGTAAAAAAAAAAAAAAAAACAAAAAACAAGAAAAAAGGAATAAAACCGTATAAATTCTGATCAGTCAATCTTTTCCAAAGTGTTGACTTCGATTGAAGAAGTTTCAATCGGAGCCTATGAGAATTTGTATTTTCCAAAAAATTCCATTAAGGAAGTATAGACTACCAATAAAATACCACCACCTGGTCCGAGACGAAGAATCTTTGGCACGAAACCCTTATAAAGAGCCCAAAATCCTTCTTCTCTAGCCACGATAAACAATGACGGAATAGACCAATTGTATTTAGACGGTAAACTAGTCCGAGGAGAATTTTGAATTCGACTTTTGACAACATCAAATGGAGTGTTTAATGTAGTTCCTACACAACCTCCAATAGCTCCAGCAATGAAGCTATTGAGCAACTCAGGTTTTTCCGGTAGTCGAGTTTTAACCTGAAAGATAACACCGAAATAACCCGCATTCCAAGTCATATTTCTCATCATTGTAGCTTCCAAACCATTGTACAGAGCCAAGATACCTTCGTGTTTAAGAATCTTCTTTAGACAATCCATTGTTCCTAAATATATAAAAATAGACAATTACAACTTCAAAATTCTAAACTTTAAATTTTTCTATAACTCAACAATTAGAATTCATGAATGAATAAACTATGAAAACTAGAAACCTAACCTTTGATTCATTTATACCATCATCTCTGTTAACATAAGACTTCAGACTTGAAAGATTACAAAACGACGTCTTTTACAAAAAAAAAACTTAAAAAACATTGAGTTTTGAAATTATAACATACGAAATTTTGTCGTATTTCTTAAAAGTTGTTTTAAAAAGTAAGACAGAGATTACTTAGGGCCAAAACGTACACACTTCAGCAGAACAGATCTAACTTTTAATGACATTACATATACGGAACTCAAGAACGATAAAAGACACGCTTTTAGAAAATTTTAACGCTTTATTTATCGTT